ATGTTGCCAGTTTTCTCTTTACTGATTTAAATTTTTTTTTTAGTTTTGAGGCTGCACCAGTCTCTGTTTAAGTATCCTTTCTGAAGAGCTCAAGGGACCATATGAGGTGATCAAAGATGGATTGGTTTTGTGCAAGGTAAGCAGCCTGCCTGCTGTCCTCTCTCTCCAGTCCCTCTTTGCTAACTTTTAAATATTACTTTAAGATGTATTTATATTATTGTCAGATTGCTCACCATAAAGGTCTTCCAGATTTTGCCTCAATAGAATGTCCCTTTTTTCTTTATTCTAATCAGCAGAGATTTGTTATTTAAAAATATATTTGCCATTGACTTTCTTAAATTTATTTTATTAAAGACTTATGTTTTCCAAAGTCATTTGCAGTTGAGTTTTAGACATGTATTTCAAAACTTATCCTACTACTGGTGTTCTCTTATTCCCTCCCCAGCACAACCCCCAAACCCCCACACCATTGCCCCGCCTGTCAACTTGGCAAGAACATTACAAAGTTTCAGTGGTTACAGCTTAGATATAATGGGCTATTTTGGGGTCACACCCAGCAATGCTCAGGGGTTACTCCTGGCTTTGCACTCAGGTATTAGTCCTGGTGGTGCCCTGGGGACCATCTGGGATGTTGGGGATTGAACCCGGGTGGGCCGCGTGCAAGGCAAACGCCCCACCCGCTGCGGTATTGCTCAGGCCCCTAGATCCCATTTTTTTTTAAGTTTTTCTATGTACTTGCTTACTCTTTTACTTTGCTTTTAAGTTCACCATCAGTGACATTAAACATCTTTTTCATAGATCAACAGGTCTATGAAATTCCCTTTAGTATGTTATGTACTTTGCCTATTTTTTTCTAGTGGTGTGTTCCTAATTTTCATAGTGATTTTACAAGGCTCCTTGATAGACTATGCATATTAGTTTTGTTATATCATTTTATCATGACACTGTCACTGTCGCTGTCACGGTCACTGTCCTCCCTTTGTCATCGATTTGCTCGAGTCAGCCCAGGAACGTCTCCATTGGGACATTTGTTACTGTGTTTGGCATATCGAATATGTCCCTGGTAACTTGCCAGGCTTTGCCGGTTTTATCATGTATTTATTGATGTTTAAAATGTGATATATTAGGCTGGACAGAATACATAGATTAAGGTCCTTCCCTTGCATACTATTTTTAACTACAATAGTGGCTCAAATTTGGGCACTGGAGCGATAGCACAGTGGTAGGGCGTTTACCTTGCACGCAGCCAACATGGCTGACCCGAGTTCGATTCATCAGCACCTCTTGGAGAGCCCGGCAAGCTACCGAGAGTATCTCGCCCGCACGGCAGAGCCTGGCAAGCTCCCTGTGACGTATTCGATATGCCAAACACAGTAACAACAAAGTCTCCGATGGAGACGTTACTGGGCCCGCTCGAGCAATATGATTTCTTGAACACAGCTAGCAGTTGTCACTGAACTTCTCTGGGTTTCCTTCTCCAATTTGATGTGTGCTAGAACTGTGCCATCATTCTTTTTTGATGAGGAGTTTTCAATTTGAGACCTAGAAAGGCCTTTTTAACCGGTTCCTCTACTGTTTCTTTGATTTTTATCTTGAAATACCTCTTATATTCCATGTTCATGTATTTTATGCTTTTATTTCAAAACTAATACAGAAAAATTATAAAATGTAAGGAATGCCACTGTATCCCCTTAGCCAAGTCCCTGAATATTACTATTGTAACTAATTGTTATTACTATTTATACCTGTTTGACGGTTTCTGATTTTACTAAATTATCAGAGAGTCCTTTGCAAGACATGATTTGTGTGTTTGGACCATCCCTGGCGATGCTCAGGAATTACTCCTGGCTGTGCACTCAGGAATTACTCGTGGTGGTGCTTGGGGTAGCATATGGGATGCTGGGGATTGAACCTCAGTCACAAGGCAAGTGCCTTTGTACTGCTATCCAGCCCAGTACCAAAATCCTTCCGTTTGTTTTACAAAAAAAATATGCCATCAGGAAATTAACTCTGATACAGAGCTATTATCAAACCTTTCTGTTTTATTCATTTTCACCCCGTCTCAAAAAGCCCTCTTTTTGTTTCTGGGCCATATCCAGTGGTGCTTAGGGGCTACTCCCAGTACATTACTTGGGGTCGTTCTCACTGGTGCTCAGGGGACCATGTGGTGCTGGTGATCAAACCTGGATCTCCAGCATGCAATGCAGTTGTACCAGCCCTTTGAGTCATCTCCCCAGCTTGCTGATAATCTATTATTGTAGGAGAAATTGCTTTCTGGTCCTTGATCTGTCATGTAAATTATAAAAATCTCTTAGTCTTTTTAATTTTGCAGAAAGTTTTAGGGTTAATATGCTTGTCTTGAATGTGGCTGACCCTTTTTTAATCCCCAGCACCACAGATGTTCCCCTGAGTGCCTAGATTGAGCCCTGAACATAGAAAAAGCCTAGGAGTAACCCTCCAAGCACCAGTAGGTATTTATTACAGGATACAACACATTTTAGGGAGTTCATTTTTTAAAAGTTTGTGTTGAGTATTGATAACAGGGTCTCACATGTACTGTAATGCTGAGCCACCTTCCTGGCCCCTATAAATTTTAGTGCATAGAATTTTGTAATCATCACCTGAATTAGATTGAATATCAGTTCCATTACCCTCAAACTTCCTTCATGTTGTACCTTTTGTAGTCTTTCCTTTGATTTTATTTCTCTATTTTTCTTTGAGTCTGGGCACTCCCAGCTGTGCTCAGGGTTTACTCCTGGCTCTGTACTCCATGATTACTCCTGGTAGGCTCCGGGGACCATATGTGGTTTTTGTTTTCTGGTTTTGCTTTTATTTTATTGGCCATTGCCAGTGGTGCTCTGGAGTTGATATTCTTGGCTCAGTAGTCTGAAGTCATTTCCGGTAGACTCGGAACGAACTCCACCTCCCTCCCACACCGTCGTTTGATTATTTTTCATGGGAAATTGTATCATTCATTCATGTTTCTGGATTTGGAATCAGTTATAAGTGTTTCTACTCACCCACTGGTCTGATTTTTTTTCTCATTTGTATGGCTTTAGTGCCATAAATTTAAATCCCTGATCGTTTTAGATTTATTTTTATGGATTTTTTAAAGATACAGATTCAATTTGTCTTTTCAAATGACTATTTTTTGTAGCACTGTTTGTTATTTTACCCTCACAAATTGAAACATTAACCGTACCACATTTGTATACTAATTCATATATGCTTAACTTTCTTGTTTTTTTTCTTTCATTTTATTGGTTTGTCTCTTCATGAGCACATACCAACTAGTTAATCATATGAGCTCTTCCAAGTTTTTCTCGTTCTTTTTTCTTCCTTTTTGGGTCACACCCGGCAATGCACAGGGGTTACTCCTGGATTTGCACTCAGGAATTACACCTGGCGGTGCTCAAGGGACCATGTGGATTGCTGGGAATTGAACCCGGGTTGGCCACATGCAAGGGTAATGCCCTATCTGCTGTGATATCACTCCAGCTCCATTCCTAGTTATTCTTTTTTTTCTTTTCTTTTTTTTTTATTTAGTGAATCACTATGGGAAAAGTTACAAAGCTTTCAGGTTTAAGTCTCAGTCATTCAATGATCAAACACATTCCCCTTGACCAGTACTTATTTTTCACCACCAAGAACACCAATATATGAGCCACAAGAATGTTGGAAATTGTTCACAAGAATTTAATACATTCATTATTCCAGCACCAATTCCACCACCATTACACCTTCTCACCCCCATTATTTCGGATTGTCCTACTGCAACTTAAGCCTGCCTTCAAACCAAGTCCTAGATAATACATTTTGTATTACTTGTTATGAATAATGCATTAAAATGATCCAAAAATGTTTTCTTATTGGTATATGTGTGAATATTTTTGTATCTCACCCTAGAGCCATTAAGCCGAACAAGGAATATTTTTATATTTATTTAAATCTCTGTTTCTTTGGGGAGATATAAAAAGTATTACTAAAAGTACAATTTATACTTTATTTTTCTTTTGGGGTCATACCTGATGGGGCTCATGGCTTATTCCTGGCTCTGTTAGAGGTGACCCCTTGTGTCAGATCTCAGGGCCCATATGTCATACCAAGGATTAGGCCAAGTCTGTCACATTTAAGGCAAGCGCTTTGACCCCTGTACTCTCTCTCCAGCCCTGATCAAGTCCATTTTCATTATTTACTTACTCTTTGTTTTGTTTTGGCCATAGTCTGCGTGCTCCGGGCTTATTGCTGGCTCTGCATTCAGGAATTAGACCTGGCAGTGCTTGGGGGACCTTATATAGGGAATAGAACCCAGGTGGGATATGTGTAAGGCATGTGCCCTATCCACTGTACTCTTTCTCCAAACCCTCAAGTTTATTTATTTCTTTATTTTTGTTTTTGGACCATACACGGCAGCAATGCTCAGGGTTTACTCCTGGCTCTGCCCTCAGAAATTTTTCCTGGCAGTGCTTAGAAGACCATTTGGGATACTGTGGATTGAATTCATGTCTGACACTTGCAAGGCAAGTACCTTCCCTACTGTACTATTGCTCTGACCCCTGAAGTTTTTTAATTTTATTTTTCTTGCTAATTATAAATGTGGCTCCTCCTCCATTATATATTTCTAACCAATCACTGTTTGAATTCAAGAAAGTGGTTTATTTGTAATTATATCCTAGTTTTAAGAAAAATTTTAATTAGGCATTGTGATTTTTAAGTAAATCTTGGACTCTTAATTAAGAGTATTTTGGGTTTTCTATAGTACAATCACATCTAATCTTCAAACAGATATGGTTTCACCTTTTATTTCTGATTTATATGTTTTCTCCTAATTGCATTGGCAGATAACAGTACACTGCAACACTGTCCTCCCCTTGTTCGTCGATTTGCTCCAGTGGGCACCAGTAACATCTCCATTGTGGGACATGTTGTGACTGTTTTTGCCATATCAAATACGCCACAAGGAACTTGCCAGGCTCTGCCATTCGGATGGGGTACTCTTGGTAGCTTCCCGGGCTCTCCAGGAGGGATGGAGGAATCGAACCTGGGTCGGCTGTACACGCAAGGCAGACGCCCTACTCTCTATGCTATCACTTCAGCAATTAAGTAAGTAAAAAGTTCTTGGTATCACTTGAGCTGTTTTAGTACTTTCTGTTAAAGATTCTAGATTTTGGCAGAAATCTGTGTCTGATTATGTTTATAATGTATTCATCAATTTTTATTTGTTCTTTTTGTTATTTGGCACTATCCAGTGATGCCTGGGAACTTTTCCCAGCTTAGTGCTGGAGGATTACTTCTCGTGGTACCTGGGGGAGCATTTGGTACCAGGAATTGAGCATAGGTGTCCTACTTGCAAAGCATATACTGAACTCACCACTGAGTTTTCTGCTTCCTGTTTTCTTTTTCTGACTCTATTAAAAATACTAGTTTTTGTTTTCCTGCCTCACCTGGCAATACTCATGGCTTTGGGCTCAGGAATCATTCTTGGTGGTGCTCGGGAGAATGAATGAGATGCCGGGGATTGAACCTGGGTTGGCCGTGTGCAAGACAAGCACCTTACTAGCTATACTGTTGTCCCAGTGACACCGAGCTCTACTCAGAAATTACTCCTGGGTCTGTGCTCTGGGATGTGTCCTGGCAGTGATGGGTATGTTAATTTCGGTGGGAGGCATGCATTTTGAATCTTAAATACTATCACTATGTTTAAACCTTTTACCTTTCTTTTTAATTGAATCACTGTGAGATAGACCCTTACAAAGCTGTTCAAGATATAGTTTCAGTCAGTGTTCCAACACCCATCTCTCCACCAGTGTACATTTCCCAGCACCAGTGTCCCCAGTTTCCCCTCCCACCACGCTTCACCTCCCACTCTCAAGACTTCCTCTGTGGCAGGAACTTTTCTTCACTCACTTTTTAAATGGGACATTTCCTATTATATTAACTTTTTTATCTTTTTTGGAGGTGTTACACCAGTGGTGCTCAGGGATCACTCCTGGTGGGTTCAAGGAATGATATGGGGTGCTAGGGATTGAACCTGGTTGACTGCATACAAGGCAAGAGCTCTACTCACTGTCCTGCTTTAGTTCGCTTGGTATACCTTTTTGTTGTTAACCTTCATTCATCATCTGGTTCTAGCTTTGTCTTTTATAGTCAATATTTAAGTTTTGTTTTTCATCCATTCTGAACATTTTACTTCAAATAGTGTTTTTTTGGTAAATAGACATGGTGAGATCGTTAACATAAATCTGGTACGGAATAAGAAGACTGGGAAATCCAAGGGATTCTGTTTACTTTGCTATGAAGACCACCGGAGGACAATTCTGGCTGTTGACAATTTTAATGGCTTCAAGGTGAGTAAAAGTATGAAGCAGGATTTGGCTGAATGTTTCTGATGTAATGGTTTGGTTTGATTTTTCCCCTGATTCACACAGGCCCAGGGGCCACTAGGATGAGACAATAAAAGTTTCAGGGATGTGGGGAAATTGTTCTAGGAAGCAATAACATGGGCCTCTGCTCCAGTCAGCACTTTTTTCTTCCTCAGTATTAGCTATACCACCACCCACCCAGGGAGGCCTTTGTTTCTTACCTTTCCCACCTCACCACTGTATTTCTCCAGCCCAGGAGAGTTACTCTTAGAGAATTTGTCACTGATTGCACCAGTAATAAGTAGTTACAAGGACAGCATGGAATGGGGTTATAGGTTTTCATTTTATGGATCCTATATTCAAAGTCAGTCAAAGAAGGGATGGTTTTCAAAACATTTTTTCCCTCTTTGGTCATACGTAGCGATGCTCAGGGTTACTCCTGACTCTGCACTCAGGAATTACTCCTGGCCTTGCTGAGGAAACCATATGGGATGCTGGGGATCGAACCTGTATCGGCCACATGCAAGGCAAATGCCTTACCCTCTGTGCTATAACTCTGGCCCCTCAAAACTGTCTTTATTTATTTATTTATTTTGGTTTTTTTTTATGACATCTGGGGATGCACAGGGACTCCAGGCTCTACATTCAGGAATTAATTCTGGCCTTACTGGGGGGAGCATATGGGATGCTGGAAATCGAACCCAGGTCGGCCACGTGCAAGGCAAACGCCCTATCCTCTGTGCTATCTCTCCAGCCACTCAAAAATGTTTTTAAGTTGGAAATTGGATAGATGATAAGAGGTAGATTAGACTTAAAGGTAAAACTAAAATCACACCTTGTATTGGAACAATAAAAGCTAGACTTTGGGAATGTTGGGTGCCTAATGACTATAGAATTAAGTATCTATTAGAGAGTGAAGTGATCCTACAGTTGGTAGGGCTCATACCCTACTTGTGCCTTACCAGGGTTATGATCTGGACACCCTATATCATCTGAGCACATTCAGTATTGTTTCAATAACCCCCACCATCAAAAAAGAATTTTTAAGTTTATGCTTAAAAAAATGAAATGATGTTGATTAATGTGAGTGATGACTATTTTGTTGTTTGCCCAGAGTTTGTATTTAACAGCAAAAGTATCAGTGTGGGCTAGTCACAAAAATTCCTGGAGTTTTTTTTTTTTTATATCATGACATCAATGGGCTGGAGCGATAGCACAGCGGTAGGGCGTTCGCCTTACAAGCGGCCAACATGGCCGACCCGAGTTCGATTCCTCCGCCCCTCTCGGAGAGCCCGGCAAGCTACCGAGAGTATTTGATATGCCAGACACAGTAACAACAAAGTCTCCAATGGAGACGTTACTGGGCCCGCTCGAGCAAATCGACGATCAACGGGAGGGCCTTTACCTTTTACCTTTTTATGACATCAATACAGCACAAAAATATTTGTATGGCACACAGGGGTAAACTGACAGAAGATGCTAGTGCACTTGCCTCAGGGGCTCAGTAGCCCTAAGGTCTGCAGAGAAAATTGCTAGCTGGGAAAGAGTACTCAAACACAACAGTTGGGCAAACAGTGTTGGAGATTTCCCCAGAGATAGAGTTAGCAGGAAGTTTTTGTGGATCACTTCGTTTGGTAGGAGGGCTGTCTTTGCTGATGCGTCGACTTTCTGTATTAGTTCAAAGGACGAACTCCTCCAGTGGATCATGTGTCTAACTATAGGGCTCCTATGGACTCAGATGAATTGGATACTGTGTCCAGACTGCTTCAGAAGACGGGCTGTGGGGATTACACACCTACAAAAAGTTCATCTAAGGACTCTGAAGATGACAAACCAACAAAAAAACACATAAAAGGTAAAATTTTATGACCAAAAATGATTCCAGGTGGTCTTAATTTTTTTGATGAATAAAGCTGTTTATTGAACGATAAAAAGGTAAGTTTATTTTCAAATAGGAAATAAATGTTCATATAACCAAAACTGTTAAGAAATAGTGACATAACCAAAACACAGAGACAGTCTACAGAATGGGAAAGGATATTCGCCAAATACACATCTGATAAGGGGTTAATGTCAGGGATATACAAAGTACTGGTTGAACTCCACAAAAAGAAAACATTCAACCCCATCAAAAAATGGGGAGATGAAATGAATAGAAACTTTCACAAAGAAGAAATCCGAATGGCTAAAAGGCACATGGGAAAATGCTCCACATCATTAATCATCAGGGAGATGCAGATCAAAACCACAATGAGATATCACTTCACACCACAGAGACTGGCCCATATCCACAAGAACAAAAGCAACCAGTGCTGGCGCGGATGTGGTGAGAAAGGGACACTCCTTCACTGTTGGGGGAATGCCGACTGGTTCAGCCCTTTTGGAAAACAGTATGGACGATTCTCAAAAACTTAGAAATTGAGCTCCCATTTGACCCAGCAATACCACTCCTAGGAATATATCCCAGAGAGGCAAAAAAGTATAGTCGAAGTGACATCTGCAATTGTCTGTTTATTGCAACACTCTTTACAATAGGCAGAATCTGGAAAAAACCTGAGTGCCCGAGAACAGATGACTGGTTAAAGAAACATTGGTACATTTACACAATGGAGTACTATGTAGCTGTTAGAAAAGACGGAAGTCACGAAATTTGCATACAAGTGGTACTACATGGAAAGTATCATGTTAAGCAAAATGACTCAGAAAGAAAGGGATAGACATAGAAAGATTACATTCATCTGGGGAACATAAAGTAACAAAATAGGAGACTAACACCCAAGAATGGCCGAGATTAGTACCAGGAATTTTACTCCATGGCTTGGAGGCCAACCACACATACTAGGGGAAAAGGGAGCTCAGATAAAGAAGGGAACACCAAATAAAGGTGTTGGGATGATCCTCCCAGGGTGGGAGAAGCATGCGGAAGGTAGACTATAGACTAAACATGATTGTCACCCATTGACTCATTTGCAAACCACAACACCCAATAAGAGAGAGAACAAAAGGGAATACCCTGCCACAGAGGCAGGGTGGGAGGGCGGTATGGGGGGTGGGAGGGATACTGGGATCCGTGGGTATTTGATCATTGTATAATTGAAACCCAAGCACAAAAATGTGTAAGTCTGCAACTGTACCTCATGATGTCTCACTATTAAAAATTTTTTTATTAAAAAAATAGTGACTTAGTAAACTTAAGTTTATTTCAAGATACAAGTATAGAAACACAATTTTTTTCTTTTTGGTTCATACCCGGCAATACACAGGGGTTACTCCTGGCTCTGCTCTCAAGAATTACACCTGTTGGCGCTCATGTGACCATATGGGATGCTGGGAATCGAACCCAGTTCGGCAGTGTGCAAGGCAAACGCCCTACCTGCTGCGTTATTGCTCCACCCCGATACTGTTTTAATTTATCCGACTTCTCTAGAGAAACGTAAATTTAAGGAATATACTGATGGGCTTACGAACTTTCTAGAAAATCTTCTAAGACTTTTACAAAGCTCATCATTTTTAAATTGGAGGATGACGATTGGGATACTTTGACTCTTCATCTTATAAACCTTGCTGTTTTTGCTGTCTTGCCATGAATATTAATATACTATTAAAATTCAAATTATTAAACTGGATGATAATAGTACAGTGAGTGGGTTGGGTGTTTGATTTATACACAGCCAACCCAGTTTTGCACTCTTGCATACTATGTGGTCCTCCAAGCCCCACCACCCCAACTTCAAATTATTTTTGGGGGGTGGGAGTCACACCTGATGGTGCTTTGGCTTACAACTGGTTCTGCATTTGATCTAGTGTATTTAGAAAATAGGAAACTTTGGGGAGAGTTGTATGTTTTTTCATTTCCTATTTGTTCCTCCCGTCCATTTTTTTTCTCTCCAGACAAAAAGGAAAAAAAGAAAATGAAAAGCGGGAGGTACAGCCAGATCCACCAGTCTCCTCTTCATCACCCAGAAGCAAGATGCTAAAGGAAAACAATTCCCTTGACTGTAAAAAGTTCAACAGCAAGAACTCTGAAAAGGTTCAGAAGTAAGAGTCCAGGGAGGGGCTGAAGCAATACCACAGCTCCTCTGAGGTCAGGACAGCCTACCACTCTGGAGCAGAGGCCCAAGACAGGGAGCCAAAGAAGAAGCCAGACAGGAACACAGGTCCGTATGTAGGAGAGTGGAAACGGAAGAAAAGAATAGGCCTAGGGACAGAGATCAAAGGTCAGATACCCACTTTGGCTGGCAGGCACAAGGAGCGTTCTGAATGGCATGGTCGCAGGAGTAGGAGTAGGTGTAGGCTACGAGTAGGAGCGGTGATAAATCCCACAGGTATCAAAGATCCTGGCACTCCCAGGATTGGGGATCCCCTACTTCCAGAGACTACAGGCGTCACTGAGACTGCAGCCGATTGAGTTGCTTGGTAGAATTTGAGATGAAATGGTTTCTTCTTGTGTGTGTGTGTATGTGTGTGTGTGTGTGTGCGCGTGCACGCGCACGTGCGCGTGCGTGTATGTATGTAGAGTCCCATCATGAGGTACTCATGACTTCTAGCTCTGGTTTAGGGGTCAATCATGGCAGGGCTCAGAACTATATGAGGTTCCGGGGACAGAACTTAGGGCAACTGCCTGGAAGAGAAACAATCTGTACACCGAACTGTCTCTCTGGCCCCAGATTTGAACTATTTTAAGAAGCAGTTCTTAAAAAGCAAAACCAATTATTTCTCACTTTTGAATATGTAAAATCTTCTGAAGATCAAATATTTTATTCCCTTGTATATCAATCCTTGAGAGAGATGTACTCTCTATAGTCGGATGTCCTTACTTCTTTTCGAGGGGGGGCAGGTAACACCTGGCGATACTTATGGATTTCTCCTGGCTCTGTACTCAGTACTATTGACAGTTCTTGGGAGACCATGTTGGATGCCATGGGAATTGAACGCAGGTTACCTATTTGCAATCGAACGCCTAACCTGCTTTTTTATCTCTCCGTTGCCTGATGTTCTCAATTTTTAAGCGCAGTTTGTTGTCCTTGGGAATATATTTGTTACTAATCAGATTACATGTGGTAAATTGGTTCATATATAGATCCAAGAACCTATAACCCCCCTAAGAAGGATGAGAAATATTTAAGAAATAGGAAAATATCAGTTCTTGAATTTTCGTCTGTGTTGGATGACTGTCCATTTGGCAGATAAAACCGATAGAGATGTGTGACTTAATTCGGTATAAGTAGCGTGATATAGATACAGTAATGAAGCTGTTAGTCTGTTCTGTTTATGTTGAGATGTGTCTTTTCCTGAACAATTTTGTTGATACACTTCCACATATGTTCCTTGCCACTTATTTTTATTGATAAATTGACACAACAAAATTTGCCTCATACAAAAATGCAGTTTTTCAAAATTGCCTTAAAATTGGTTTGAAATATTGTGATGGTTCTGCTGTTAGCTTCAGACCTTTATATGTGTATAATTGTCACAACATCCACCACCAATCTTTGAGTGCTATCCCACCACGAAAAAGACCTTGCTGGTTCTTTCCACTACCAACTCCTTCTCTCTGAGAGTAACCATTGTGTTCCTTCAGTCTAGAAAGTTTGTTATTTTCTTTCCTTTTTACTGTTTTTGGTGAAGCAAGAGAGTTTTATTATTTTTTAAAACTCAAACTAATTTATTTTTTGGGGGGTCAGACCCGGTGAAGCTCAGGGGTTGCTGCTAGCTCTACCCTCAGTAATTACTCCTCACTGTACTCGGGAACCACATGGTTTTGTATTTTAGGCCATATCTTGCTCTGCTCAGGTCTTACTTCTGGCTTTGTACTCAGGAATCACTCCTGACAGGTTTGGGAGAAAATATGCTTTGCTGGGGACCAAACCCAGGTCTCCTGCATGCAAGGAACACACCTTACTTAAATACTCTGTCAATCCTTGAGAATTAACCATTTTGTCATAGACTCGCAGACTGTGACTCTCAGGGTTGATATCTCGGCTCTGAATTCAGGATTCCATGGTTCTGAAAGTTCCATCATTCCTTTAAGTTTCGAAGTTTATTTAAACACTGATTTACAAAGTAGCCAGTCCCAACACTGAGAAAGCCTGTAGATTTTAGTCACAAAGCCTGTAGATTTTGCACACCTGAACTTTCAGCAGGTTAATTACTGGGTAAGGCTCTGTTCTGAGAGAGTGGAGTCTCTCCAGATGCATGACTGCGATTTTGCTGTTGGAGAGTGAGCAGCTTCTGGGGCTCAGTTTGAACAGGCCCTGGGCTGGCCCCTGAGGTCTCAGCCATGCATGGGTGATAGAAGGAGTTTTGGCTGCTGCTTCATCTCTTTCATGATTTTGAGTCTCTGGAGCAAGAACAATAGATGAACCTACACGGAACGGTGGGTGATTCATGGGTTTTACTGCCAGAGCTTCTAGAAGTACCAGGGAGGTAAGGGGAAGGAGCCCATCCCAAGTCAAGATATCAGCCACAAAAACTTGCATACTTGAATTTTCAGCAAGGTAATTTCTCAGTAAGGCTCAATCCTGAAACAACGGGGTCCACTCAGAGAGAAGGCAGTGTGGGCTGGCTTTCCCACCGTGTAGAAAGTTTTCTTGCATTCACAGGATTTCTCTCCTTCATGAATCTTCTCAAGTTCAGTGAGGTTTCATTTCATGGATAATCTTTGCCTACGTTTCATGCTCTAAGGGTCTGTCTCCTTTGTAAGATATGTTGTGTATGGGGTGACCTTATTTGTTGTAAAAAGTTTTTATCCACACTTTACATTCATAGGGTTTCTCTCCTGCACGAATTATGTTGAGTGAGGTACAATTTTATCAAAAAGGTTTTCCTGCATTCTTTGCAATAAACAGGGTTTTCACGTGTATGAATTCTATATTGTTTAATGAGATATGATTATAAGGAGAAAGTTTTCCTGTTTACTTTCCATTCACAGGTTTTCTCTCCATGAATTTCATTCCTATTCAGTGAGGTATAATTTTTTTTTCTACTTGAGTCACACCTGGTGATGCACAGGGGTTACTCGTGGCTCTGCACTCAGGAATTACCCCTGGCGGTGCTCAGGAGACCATATGGAATGCTGGGAATTGAACCTGGGTTGGCCGCGTGCAAGGCAAATGCCCTACCTGCTGTGCTATCGCTCCAGCCCAATGTGAGGTATGATTTAAAAGGAGAGTTTTCCTACATGTATAGGGTCTCCTCTCATGGTTAGTGAGGTTTGATTTCAATGAGAATGTTTCCCTACATTTACAGGGTTTCTCTCCTGTGAATCCTGTTATGTTCAGTCAGTAATGACTTAATGGAGAAAGATTTCTTCCTGCATTCACTGCATTGGTAGGGTTTATCACATGTGAATTCTTATGTTTAATCAGACATGACTTACAAGAGAAAGATCTTCAGCATTCAGTACATGAATTAGGTTTCTCTGTTGTTTGAGTTCTTATGTTGAATGAGAGAGGATTTCACTGTGAATGTTTTCCAACATTTTTTTTTGTACATAGGGTTTCTCTTCTGTATGAAATCTTTCATGTGGAATTAGATCTGGCTTCATTGAGAAAGTTTTTCTACATTTTTTTATTTGTGTTTCTCTCCTGAGAGACTCTGTTTTGAGTTATCTATCATCCATGGCTCTACTCCTTGTTTTATTTTTATTTTTTCATGGCTCTACTCTTTCTTCAACTTGATGATTGCTTCAGGTGTGATGACAGAGTGTCCCAATGATTCCAGGTCCTGTAGTTTTCCAGTGTCTCCTCACTGAACAGGATCCTCTGTTCATCAGCCAGGAACTGCCATTCTTTCCACGTGAAGTTCACACGCTCCTCCTCAAAAAGCACCGTCCCCAGAGGTGATTTCATTGGTATCTTTTAGAAATTCGGTGAGCTCTTGAAGTAGAGTTGAGGAAGATTGGGAAAACTGGTATGGCTGGCTCCTGTTTTTTAAGAGTCTTATATTTATGGTTTGATCAGAAGATTGCACAGTTTCATGATCATGCCAAGTTAGAATCTTTCCTTCCTATACCTGCTGTCTGTGCTCTTCTGCTGCCTTACAACCTGTGTTTGGTACCAAGGTCTTCCAAAATAAATTTTATTGAAGCAGCCCATCATGTGGAGCGACTTTTGCCCATGATGACCCTGGCAGCTGCAAGTTCTGGTGGAAAGCGTCATTGGAATTCTGATGGGCTCTGCAGGAAATCTGTTGAAAACCAGAAGAACTGTGCCACCCCTTGAACACCAGGGTATTTTTCCGTGGTGACCTCTAACAGGGAAAGTGTATCGCTTGAGCTCTGCCCCTCATTATGCTTATCCCAAATTGATCCTCTCTGGGGAGAAGTAAACTATTCTTGGTTAATTTTAATTTTTCTGGGTGGAGGCTGGTGGAGATGGGTATACCACCAGGTCTCAGGGCTTATTCTTGATATTAAGCTCAGGAATCGATCCTTGGTGAGCTGTGTGCAGGGCAAGTTTATTAGTTCTAAGGCTATAGTGAACATCATTGAAATTGGTATGAGTATGTCAGGCAATCTGTTAAATAGTTTTTGTAGGATGGTCAGGATAATGGGGGTAATCTGCTCCCCCCCCCCCCTTGGTGAACACAAACTTTTCTTCCACTTCCTAGTTTCCTCTAATAAGGAAATTATATTTCTGGTACCCTTCACCTGTTTTGTCCCCCCCCCCCCCCCAACAATTTATCCAGCCGTGCCTGTTGTACTGGCTCTCTAGCTCTCTTTTTTAAAAATTTTTTTTAAACTCAAAAATGTAAAGCACAAAACCCTGATGTGTGTATTCCTAAGAGATTGAGTTTTTCAGAATAGCAGCTCCTTCCATCGTTGAATGAGGTGTGGAAAGAGGAAGCTAGCCACAAGCCAGTTGTGTCATGGAAAGGCTCTGGGCTTCCCCTATAGCTCCAGGACTGAATTTGAGTCAGAAACGAGCAAGGCAAACTCCCTATGCTCTGTATTCTGAATCTAGCCCCTTCTGTAATATTTTGGACAACTCGCTCATTGTTTTATTTATTTAATCATGAGCTTCTGCAATCTCACTGAAAGTGGAAAGGGAATATATAATAATATGAAACTGAAAGGAAAGCACTAGCATCAGAGGACATGAGTATGTATGGGATGGAGGGCTCCTGAGGAACAGAAGGAATGGTGTTGTGGTTTAGTTGTTTTGTTTTGTTTTGTTTTGTTTTGGGACCACACCTAGCGATGCTCATTGGTTATTCCTGACTCTAAACTCAGGACTTAATCCTGGCAGAACTTGAGGAACCATATTAGATGCTGTGGATTGAAGGTGGATTCAAGAAGTAAAAGGCAAATGTCCTACTCACTATTTAGTGCTCTTGCCCAATGTTCTGGTAGTTCTAAGAAAAATCCTAAGCCAATTCTTGTCCACAGTCTGAGATCATATTTTGGGTGCTCTTGCCATTTCAGGATGCAAAATGCTTCCTGGGTTCCACAATATTCATTTCCTATTCGAGCATTCCAAAATCTTTGTTCCTGCCATCCAACCAGTCAGTTTGATGTTGCAGGGGCAAACCTGGGAGTCTTTTGTGTTGTGTCCTGCTTTTGCCATGGACAAGATGCCAGGATTGGTGTGCTCCTAGATGAAATTCTCCTTACTCAGCATCTCCTTAATTTTTTCCTTTTTAAAAAAACTTTTAATTGTAGCCTTTGACTATCCAGTGGTTTGTGATGTGCCCTCCTAGGGCCTCACTCCTATCCCTGCATTCATGACAGGAGAATGCAGGAGTCTGGCGACCAAGTGAGAGTTCATCATCGACAGGCACAGTTTTGGGGGGAGGGTGTGGCTTGCTCCCCATGAGGGAGACCCAGTGCTCCCAGTCTTTCTGAGGCAGTTTGGACGCTTTTCAGTGATGTTGATGGCTTTTTAATTATTTATTTTCACATCTGGATGGCAGTGGTAAATGATGCGTATAGTTTTGGGCCTTTACCACTGGAAAAAAAAACCAGATAAATAATTTAATAAAAAATATATATACACCTGATGTCTTTAAGACTTGTTCTGAAAGAGACTAGGCTAGGGTTATTAAAAAGAAAGAGAGAAAAGGTATTTACTGTAGGAAGTTTCTAGAACCTGCATATGCATACGCTGCATTGGTCCCATCAGAGATACTTTTTCTGAAGCATCTGAACTTTGGGACGGTGGGGCTGGAGGAACTTAGGAGGGGTCTGTAGTGTGGAGGGGGTCCTGGGTGCAGGGGCCTCGGGCTCAGGGTCCGGGTTCAGGTCAGCGGCATAGAAGATCAGATAGACGAGCAGGGGTTTCAGCAGGTGGACCTTATCCTGCAGCTGCGCTGTGAGGGGGTCTCCCAGGATCTGAACAAGGCGCCAGTCTGCTTCTTCACGTCCTGCACGATGATGTTGCCTTGCTGCGGTCTGGCTTTCACTGTCTTGATGATCAAATCCTTGCAATTGATCAGGGACCTCCGCAGGTGCTCTGCAAAAGCTGTAGTGGTAGGTCGGTTGAAATGTTCCGCATAACATAGCCTGTTCACTTTCTTTCTTCCTTTTGGGGTCACACTCCATGGTATGGAGGTTTTTCATCTGGCTCAGTCTCAGGAATTACTCCTGATGCTGTTTGGAGGACCCTGTGGGTCAGAATCTCCTATTGATGAGTACTAATCTGCTGGTGCTGTTATTTTGGGAAAGCAGGAACTTTTGTAACCAAAGCCTTTCTTACTGGTACTAAGCAAAAAAATTCTGCTGACTTTGAAAGTCTGCACTTCCCTGCACAACTATTGGATTTTTTTCTCCTATCCCATTCCAATCCATCTGTCAGGTTTCCTCCTGCAGGCAGATCTCATTTCTGTTGTTTTTGGGACATTTGTGGACTCTCTTTTTTTTTTTAGCTCTCTGAATTTTCAATTCTTTTGAATTGATCTGAGAATTTGTTCCTTATTCCAGCCCCACAAGATTTTAATTGCTCCAGATATGTAGTACACTTTGAAGATGGAAATAACAGGTTTATGGGGTGCTCTAAAGGTACTTTTGCGCCGTCCTTCATTGCACATCAGATTTCTTTTCTCCCACATTTGGAGAAGTACATGAGGCATTGGTTGCAGTCCTGCCCTCACGTGCAGTTTTAGGAAATAGAGATGTCACTCTGAAGGTGATTGAGGTCCTTTAATTGTCTACACAGTGTGGAATGTGTCAAGGTTCTCTGTAGTCTACCTGCTGCCTAGAGAGCAGGGTCATCTTACACCATGTTATCCCTCTGCTGAATAACAGGAGGAATAATAGTACTTGGTATCTTTAATAGTGGTGACCAAGAGAGATGGATGCCTTTAAATCTTAAGGAATGTCTCTGCACAAATATTATATGAGAAGTCATTCATTACCAAAAAGGAATGACTAAAAATGATCACATCGCTGAATAAACGGTGGGTATGTTATGTTAGTTACATAACTGACTGTGGCCTCAATAAGTTGACCAATTTTGAGAGATCAGGGTCCCCAAATAGGACTCTAAAATAGAGCAGATACTTTATATATTCAGAAGAAACTTTATAAACGTTTTTTTATCTGCTTTACATTGATAAGGTTTTTCGTCAGCGTGACTTCCATATTGTTGAATTACATATTCTAGTGGGAAGATTTCCGACATGATTTACACCCCTAGGATTTCATACTGTATGAATTTGATGATGCTGAATTCTGCATGACTTTTGTGAGACTGTGTATGTTTCACATTTGAAATGTTTGTCTTCAGAGTGACTTCGATATTGTTGAATTAGATGTTTTTTCAGTGGGAAAGATTTCCTACATGCTTGCTTGCTTTGCATGCAGCCCTTCAGTTTGATGCCTGGCATCCCAGTACTCTGTCTTAACATTTGATGTTTGCTATTTTGCTGAGAGATATCAGGTGATACTGTGTTACTGTTACTGTGTTTTGCATATCGAATACATCACAGGTAGCTTGCCAGGCTCTGCTGTGAGGGCAAGATACTCTCAGTAGCTTGCCGGGCTCTCCGAGAGGGGCGGAGGAATCGAACTCGGGTCGGCCATGTTGGCTGTGTGCAAGACAAACGCCCCACCGCTGTGCTATCACTCCAGCCCTCCAGGTGATAAGTGTTTGGTATTTTCTTAATATCTTACAGACAAATACCAATTGATAAGCCTCTTGAGGATTTGACTTGCATTACCCTGATCTTTCACTTGCCTGGAATATTCTATTTTCATGATTCTAGCAAGTAAACAACTCGGAAGTCAAGAATGTAGCTTCTTTTGGAGAAGCTTGATCTGATTGGTAAGGGCCACTAGAATTTTGATTTTGCTCACTTATACTTAAGTATTTCTATAGCTGAGGCAACCCTGCATCAGGTAAGATGCTTCCCTTGTATGTGGTCGACCGGGTTTGATCTCTGGCATCTGTATAGTTGCCTGAGTGCAAAGCCAAGAGTAAGCCCTGAGCAGATTGTGCGCTGGACCGGACTGGGATTGATCCAAATCCAGCAGAGAAAATGCTGTAACTTGCATGGGATTGGATGGACTTCTCGTAAGTAAAGAGAATCAGAAAGAACAAAGGGCTCATCAAGTAGTCTCAGCTCTATGAGTTGTAAGGAAAGAAGGTGCCACCCAAGGACAGTGGAAAGAAGACCAGGAGGATTATTCCATGGTTGGAAGCCTGCCTCAAAGGCTGGAGGATTCCCAAACTCTCCCTCTTTGGGTGTTTTAATTGAATTAGATACATTTTTGTGAGAACATTTTCCTGCCTCCTCCGTGATTATTACATGCTTTACACCCCTAGGATTTCATACTGTATGAATTTGATGATGCTGAATTCTGCATGACTTTTGTGAGACTGTGTATGTTTCACATTTGAAATGTTTGTCTTCAGAGTGACTTCGATATTGTTGAATTAGATGTTTTTTCAGTGGGAAAGATTTCCTACATGTTTGCTTGCTTTGCATGCAGCCCATCAGTTTGATGCCTGGCATCCCAGTACTCTGTCTTAGCATTTGATGTTTGCTATTTTGCTGAGAGATATCAGGTGATACTGTGTTACTGTTACTGTATTTGGCATATCGAATACATCACATGTAGCTTGCCAGGCTCTGCTGTGAGGGCAAGATACTCTCAGTAGCTTGCCGGGCTCTCCGAGAGGGGCGGAGGAATCGAACTCGGGTCGGCCATGTTGGCTGTGTGCAAGACAAACGCCCCACCGCTGTGCTATCACTCCAGCCCTACAGGTGATAAGTGTTTGGTATTTTCTTAATATCTTACAGACAAATACCAATTGATAAGCCTCTTGAGGATTTGACTTGCATTACCCTGATCTTTCACTTGCCTGGAATATACTCATTTCCTGATATATGTATCTGTCAGATTCCAGCAAGTAAACAACTCTGAAGTCAAGAATGTAGCCTCTTCTGGACAGGCTTGATCTGATTGGTAAGGCCCACTAGAATTTTGAGGTTACTGACTTATACTTAAGTATTTCTAGAGCTGGGGAAATCCTGCATCAGGTAAGATGCTTCCCTTGTATGTGGTCGACCGGGTTTGATCCCTGTTATCCGTAGAGTTGCCTGAATGCAGAGCCAAAAGTAAGCCCTCAGGAGATTGTGCACTGGACCAGGATGGGATTGGTCCTAAATCCAGAAGAGAAAATGCTGTAACTTGCATTGGATTGGATGGACTTCTGGTAAAGTTAAGAGAATCAGAAAGAACAAAGGGTTCTTCGGGTAGTCTCACCTATATGAGGTGTAAGGAAACAAGGTACCACCCAAGGATAGTGGAAGGAAGACCAGGAGGATTATTCCATGGTAGGAAGCCTGCTTGAATGACTGGTGGATTCCCAGTGTCTCCCTCTTTGGGATTTTAATTGAATTAGATATTTTTTGTGAGAACATTTTCCTACCTCTTCCGTGAAAATTCATGTGAACTGTTACCTGTATGAATTTATTATTTTTGTCTTAGATGTTACTTTATTGAGAAAGGTTTCCCACCTTGTCCAACTTTGATAGTGTTGAGTTAGGTATGATTTCAGTGGGAACGATTTCCTACATGCTTTATACCCCTCGGATTTCTTCCTGTATGAATTTGATATTGTTGGATTCTACATGACTTTCATGAGAAAGTTTTACTACTTGCTTTACATTGATAAGGTTTTTCTTCAGAGTGACTTCCATATTGTTGAATTAGATATTCTAGTGGGAAAGATTTCCGACATGCTTTACACCCCTAGGATTTCATACTGCATGAATTTGATATTGCTGAATTCTGCATGAATTTCGTGAGAAAGTTGCTGTTTCAAATTTGCAATGTTTATCTTCAGAGTGACTTCCATCTTGTTGAATTAGATGCGATTTCAGTGGGAATGATTTCCTACATGCTTGCTTGCCTTGCATGCAGCCCATCGGTTAGATACCTGGCATCCCATTACTCTGTCTCAGCATTTGATTTTTGGTATTTTTCTGACAGATGCCAAGTGATAAGTGTTTGGTATTTTGTTAATACCCTGGATGGCTGATACCAATTGATAAGCCTCTTGAGGATTTGACTTGCATTACCCTGATCTTTCACTTGCCTGGAATATTCTATTTTCATGATTCTAGCAAGTAAACAACTCGGAAGTCAAGAATGTAGCTTCTTTTGGAGAGGCTTGATCTGATTGGTAAGGGCCACTAGAATTTTGATTTTGCTCACTTATACTTAAGTATTTCTATAGCTGAGGCAACCCTGCATC